CCGTATTAACACGGGTTAATGAAAAAGTTAAACAATTTAATTTAATTTATTTTTGCTTTAAAGTAAAATAAATTAATATAATTACATTATTATTTTTGTTTGAAAACGAAGAAGAATACTGTTTTCCGTAAATCTGAATTAAACTAATCAAAAAGGAACGGTGCAAACCGAAATTAATTGAAACCTTTATTGCATAAATATTCCTATATTTTCCGATTTTCACAGATAATTTAAAAGTACAAAAAATAGCAACATAAATGACCTCCCCAAATATACCAACTAGATCAAAAATGCTATAAAAAATTGTCCAAAACGTTTTTGATCAGAGCAGGATTTATAGTCAAAAAGTGGTTCTCCGCGAATCCCCGCGGTCATACCAAAACCATTATGCATTCCTCGCCTAGCTCAGAATTTAAAACCGATTTATTAATATGATTTAAAAATAAAAATATTTCAATTCTTATTTACACACTAGTATGACGACGTATTCTCTCATTAAACGGGTGGCTGCGGCGTCATGGCGGGTAGATTATTATAATGTATTTAAATTATTATGAAATTCGTTCGTTTTATATAGTTTTGTGTTCCCTACATATTATTATTACTACCTATATCCATTCCGGCCATATATACAGGAAAAACACTTAAATTAGTATATTCCGGTTTAACTCATCCATAAAAAGTTGAATTTTAAAATTATTGAGCGTACGAAAGGTATAGTAAATTGTATTAACCGATTTATCTCGTTTGCCCAGGATGATAAAAGCTAACTGTTCACCAGATATATTTTTACAACTTACTTGGCCGCTTTATTTTTTTATTATTATTATTTTTTTTTTTTTTTTTTTGTAAATAAGCCGCTCAGAAGACGAGCAACAGCAGACAAGTTATATATTGTATAAAGTCATCATAAAAATATTTTTTGCAATATTATTTTTTTTGTTTATAGAGACAAAAACGGGTTTGAAATTATAATAAAAAAAAAAAATCAACGAAATACTGTAAAAAAAAATACTAGTTTTTCCTATCACCGTAAAAATAATGTATCTAATTATATGATTTAAGGGTTATTAATTATTATATTACCATATTGTATACCGCTTCATCACGTGTTGTAAGGGTATTTTTTTTTATTAATATTTTAAAATACATTCGAGGTACTCTGAGTACGTAATACGAGTATAAATCCGTTTTCATGTATAGCTTTAAGATTTTATTAAAATAATATTATTATACGAATCCACGAATAAAGTAAGATCTTGTTAGATATGGCCTTGTTAGATTTTGTTTTTTTATTACAGCGACACATCCGTCCCCAGTATCGGCACTTTTTTTTATAAAATATATTTTGAAGCAAAGTGTTGGCGTTACATTTTTTTGATTAAAAATAATTTTTGTAAACTTAAACGAATTGTAGAAACTTAATGATTATCGTTAATAATAGATTTTTGTATCAACATAGATTTCAAAATGTTTTTATTCAATTGCTACTTTGGATAATGTAAAAGCAATTTTTTTTATAAGTTTAAATATGTTATTTTTAGTTTTAAAAAAATATATAAATACAAAATAGAGGAATTATTACAAGGAAATAAAACTTAAACATATTGAACAGAGCGAAAATTGTATTATCATATGCCGGATCTATGTGTAATATTGAATGATATTTATTTGTTATGTTACGGACAGACTTGAATAATATGTGAGACCGCAGAGTTTTCACTGTTAAACCGCGATAATGAGTCACGTGGATGTTTGTTCAAACTGCGGAGTGTCGGTATTTAATTGTCATTAGGACAATTCCATAGCAGCGGTAAATTTTATTTTTACTGTTACTCCGGATAGAATCTGTGGTAATAAAATATGGATTTTTATAATTCGTTGGATTACCATTAACGATAACTGGTTTTATATTATTATATCTAAAACGTCAATATTATAATACGCTTTGTTATAATAACTTTATATAATATCCAATACATATAAGACAATTAATGATACACGATTTCGTTTAACAACCATAATATTATAATAGTGGCTGCTGGTAAATTTACCGCGTAACGTTTTACCGATAAAGTAAATTTACCGTATATTTTGTTTTATTACGTGTTTGAAAATTACATTTACTAGCGCAGTGACCTAGGTCAACAAAAATATTTACCTTTTATTTATTCTGTATATAATTTTGATTTTAATAGTATATTTTATTTTATTTTTATGTTACGTCTAATTTATGGTCCGTTCCCACTGCTCCGGGCCGAGTCCCTGTCGGAATCTGACCGGGTTCAAGACAAATATCGTCGCCGTCGTGCAAAATGTGACAAAATGATTTACTAATTTAAAAAAAAAAATTATTATTTTTAAATTGCGATCAGTTTTGATTTTAATCAAGAATTATCGGTTATGTAGTTCATAAACTATTCACGATATCACTTTGACACTTTTTTTTGTACATATTTAGGGATGGAATAAGGTATTTGAACTTGTGTTTTCACTTGTTCATTTTTTACACGACGGTGAAGATATTATTAACTTATGAATTCCAAACATGACAATTGTGTTTTATCGCGGACGGTGTCCGGAACAAAAACAACTACTGTTCTGGACAATTCTCTCTTTGGGTTCCTGGACTGGTTTACCCTTGATAGTACATAATTTCCCTTTATTTACTCAAAATTATATGATATTTACTATTTATTTTTGTATTACTTTCAACTATATAGGGTACTTTCAAATTATTTCTCGTATATTATCATTACAATTTTAAGGTTATAAATTAAATTTTTGAAATTAATTTCATCCAATGAATGACATTTACGTATATTATGCCACACTCGTGGTGTCGATGATTAATTTCTGACTAATGTGAATGGTAAACCCGGCTTGCGCGTGAACAATTAAAATACTAAAATTCGACCGCTTCCTGTACTTTACTCAGTAAAAATGTGCTGTTAAAAAGGTAATTTTATCGGTAGAATTTCTAAGCTTCTGAGGTGTCGCGTTGATAATTTCATCAATCAATTTGTGTTTAATTCCGTTGATCGTAGCAGATATTTTTTAATTTTTTATGTAGATTCTTTTGGGTTTTACACTCTTGTTGATATGTATAATATCGGGTGTATCATAAGAAGTAACGGGTTTTTTTTTTGTATGCTGTATGTTAATAATGTACACACGGGCTAACCGAATAAACATGCCAAAAATTATCACAGATCCGGCACGGAGCATTGGGAAACAAATTAAATAGGTGCTTACATGGCAAAACTGTATATTGGTAAGCACACAGCGTTCATCAATTGCGGTTATTTTGTCAAACAAAATAAATTATTTTTAATATTCATATCAATAAATAAAAATTATTTTATAGGTATTTTCGTCATGAACAGTGATAGAACACCGTAAAGTTTTCCTCCGAATCATTAATGCACGCGCGCGCGCATGTGTGTGTAAAAACGAATGCTTCACTTTTTAGTTTCATCTCCCCTCGGGCCACAAACTGTCCACGCATAATTATTATCATCATCATCATCATCAATCAACACATAATCATTATCATAACATAATGTTGTTAACGACATCAAAGTAAGTACCTACTTACGTATTATTACTCTATATTATTATTATTACTAGCTTGCATAGCTGTTATTTCATAATTTTATTAATATAGGTTGGTCCATACCGTACACGTTTGGTGCAGTGATTAATGGTATGTACTATTATAATTTAAAATATGTACCTAGGTGTACAAACAATTCTTTCCCTCGACTTTTTATTTTAAGATTTAGTTGCAAATTTTCAGTTAGGAAAAATACTCCGGATTTTTTCAGTCAGCTCCTTAAAATGCGCGGAGTTTTTGGCCGAAGGTGCGTTATTTGAAACAATTATCTAAATTTCTGGCAGATTTTTTAGAAAATTTAAAAAACTAACAGCAAACGATGCCACATTGATCTGGAGTACCGATATTTTATGAACAACGACCACTTCTTAAACAGTTAATAAATTACTTTGGTAGTAATGCCAGTAATGATCACTTCCGACAATGCTGTAGAAAGGTAGGCGCCATGCTTTCAGCGTATCCTACGACTATTTGGAAATTTATAATTTTTTTGAAGAAGGGATATGGGCTCCTAGTAGCAAAAATATAAAAATAACTATGGATAACCCTACGAGGAAAAAAAAACAAAGACATCGACCAACGTCTTTCAAATATACAGTAAAAAATTACGAAACTAAAATTAATATCAATATATATTTAAAGAGGATTTTAATTTCTAAATATTTTTATTATTTTAAATTATTTATATTCCATATTTTTTTTTTTACCAGACATGTTTGCGATATTTTCGGCTATTATTTACCGAGTCAAATGACGGGTCACCATTATTAATATAAGTGATACGTTTGTTATTCTTAAATTAACGATTTATCGGTGTTGTTACTACATATTGATATTTGTTAGTATAATATTATCTGTTAAACAATTAATTATCCCGTAAGTGTATAAGTAAAACATGATAAAACGATCCAACTGTCGAATTAGGTCAACACCTTATTAAACGACTCCGCGCGTCACTACACAACATCTCTAGCCAGCTGCAGTATACATATTTTGTTATTTTTTATCTCGTTATTTCATAGTATATTGTTAGGTATCTCGTTAATTTACAGAAAAATCGTTTTTACAACGATTGTATAGTCGATAAGTGTATGATACGTATATATGTGATTCATATCAATGGGGATTATAATTTATTCAATTTTTATGTTTGTATTTTTTTAATTATACCTACAGCAGTATTAATCGTTTTTTCATATCTTTAGTGTTACTAAAATCGAATTATGATTAATAGTTATCTATACGATAACGTCGAAAGCTGATGGTTTATCAAATATAGTGTATTTTTATTTGAATTTTATCAATCACCTAATCAAATGTGATGTGTTCTCGAAAAACTGACCAAATACGATTATAAACGTTAATAAATACTTATGGTTATTTTTTTAGTAGAAAATTGATACACGGTCTTTGCGTGTTCGGTAGACGAAGCAGTCACTACTTCACAAGTGGCATTGTTGACGTATTACCATCAAAGTACATTGTATTTCAAACCGAAAGTATAACGAAAATGTGTTCACGTAAAAAAATAACGAAACGACACCTATTATAAAATGTGTAGATGACGGTATTTCGAAGACAACCTCGATGGTGGTCTATATAGTTTTCTATAAAATATTCAACTCATTATCGGAGTGTATAAGGAATCATATTTTACATTGGTTTGGTTTTTAAATAATTGCTACTTGTTTACTGATTAATATTTTAACAAACGTGAACATTGTTTTCGACAATCATATACGAATCTGAATACAAGCGGTTTTTTTTTTTTAAACTTTAAAACCGATTTTAAAGGCGTTTTCGTGAACACGTGTGTACCTACGATAGAAAGACAGGGACAAAAAATGCCACTGTGACGACACCTGTGTAGCGCAGATATTTTTACCCATTGAATGTCCGTAGGCAATAGGCGTTCGATAACCGAAAGCCCGAAAATCGAAACTATGTATATTTTGATTTTAGGACGTTCACATTTAGTCATAAAAATAATGTCCGCTATAGTTTATACGTACTATAGTAATATTTTAACACGTCATACACGTACATAATAATATTGTGCTACGTAACGAACTGTAAACGTATTACGATAAATACATTATTATTTTAACTGAATTATTCGAGTGCCACGGAGTAAAACGGTTTTGTTATGGTCAATGGTGGTAACCAGTGATGCACTAGCGAAAACTGTCGGCATATACGATATTATAATAATATTATAATATATTGTCGGACGGACCTGTACGAGCAGCAACTACAGCAGCAGGACGGTGCAGCGTCCGTATACAGTAATAAGCAAAAATAATAAAAATGTAGGTAACCGCCGCTGCAGCAATGGTGTATCTTCGGTAAATATCAATTGGTTGCACTTCTTTTTTCGGTACCATATTGTATTCGTTATTATACATTATTAAGTAGGTAAACGACTATACAATATAATATTTAAATTATCGACGGTGGTATTTTTCGCGTAAATTACAGTCGAAATGCCTTCACCGTTACATATAGGTATACACCCGTAATGTGGTAAAGTGTATACACGCCGGACAATATTGGAAGGCGATTATCAACCGCTATATTATATGTACATTTTTTTTTTCCACAGAATCTCGTAGCAGGCGAGACATCGTTGTTGTGTCGATATTCCCATAGTCGGGTGAAAAAAAAAAACACGCCGTGTTTTTTTAGTTACGTTTAGTGTTTTTTTCCACCGCGTTAAACTCCGCGGAGATTATAATGTTAAGGGGGAAAAAAAATAACTCGTATTATATATTATTGTTATACACGGGTGTCTGCAGCCCGTTTACTGTGTATAAATACCATACACGAATCGTGTCTGAGAATATTTATTTTGGGTCATCGACAGTTAAAACGCGTATACGTTGCGAATATAATAATATAATATAGTCATTGTAATTATTTAGTAAACCAAATTATTCTCGTAAAAAAAAAAAAAAAAAAAAAACAATACCTAAAAAATGTATTTAGTTTTGGTCGGATTTACCTACTTACGCCAACCTATTTGTATCTGGTATATTATTTATCGGTTATAGTCCGATTCGAATTTTAAATTTTTAGTGTAGCGAAGAAGCTATTAGCTTTACCAAGATGTGTGTTTTTTTTTTTATCGGAAACCACTTTTCGGTTTATAAAAACGCTCTGATTTTTTTTTTTATATCACGGGTACCTCAAAAAATGCGGATTCCCCCCCTCTCTCCGGTGGTATATACTTTATTTTAAAATTTTATCTAAACTTCCAACAGTATTTCTAAATAAATATTCAAAAAACTAACATCGAACGGTGATATATCCGATTTTATTTTGGTTGATTTGTTGGTTGCTTTGCCTATATTCTAAGAATTCTAAACTAACCTTAACAGCTACCAAGCTCAGTTCAGAATCGCTCATTAATTGTAATTAAGTGTCTTTGTTTTCGGTAGTAAATTAAATTACCATTTATTCAATACCTTTCTAATTGCGTAACTATAACAGTGACTAGTGCCCGTGTTACTGTCCCATATTATAATATACATATGAATTGAAACAATTAACACATCGTACGATTTTTTAATTTTAATTTTAAATAATTGTTTTTTTTTTTTTAATCCAGATGAACGACGAAATTGTCTTCATTTTAAACGAATCTGTATTTAATGCGTATCCACGAGACCTGTTGCTGAGTAACTGCTCAGTGGGTATACGATACTTCGAGACGGAGTTTAAATTTATAGTCAGCTGACGTTAATCGTTAATTTATACGTCCTTTGATATTTTCCAATAATATCGAAGACAAACGGTAAACGGTGATAAACGACCGAAACATTTTTATCGGGTTTTCAATTCTCCGTCTGTTCTATGGTACTCTCTGCACATACATCCATAATAATAATAATATATATCACGTCTTGCTTTCAAGATTTAATACCTCCGCGCGCTGGTACCGAAGACGATCCGTTAATTAAGGAGATCTAGTATATGTACGTACGTTCGATATTCCATTAGGCATTGCCACGCATAAAGAAAATTACCGATTTACGATAGAGAAACAATATAGTCTCATAACCCGGTCCAAAACGCGTTTAAATAATTGTATATGAAATTAAAAAATAAAAACTCAAATTGGTTTTCGGTAAATTTATCGAACTTTTATAATGTACGTATGTCGTATCTACATACGTATATAACAAATACACACTCACATATAACATAGCTTGACGTAAGAACGGTCAATATGGAATAAAAAAAAATTGAAAATTTCAAAAAATACGCGAAATGAATTAATTTCCCAAAGTTACGGAAATCTAACGTAAAATTCGTAATTATTGTAATATGGTTTTATTATTATTATTATTATTATTATTTTTTTGTTTTTTTTTTTGACATCGGGCTTTCTCGCGCCAATTCACGGAATTAAATATACGGTTTTTGTATGTATTGATCAATCAATTAAATGCGTCGTGTATATATTTTCTAATATTTGTTGCAGTGCAATCACAAATACTTTTAGACATTTGTATTATAAAATGAGTCCAAATAATACTATGATTGAATCAAAAAAATGTCCAAGTACAAAAACGATATTACACTAATTTATTGGTAATTACCATAAACAAGTGTTTTTGTTTTGTTTCGAAAAAATCTTAAATTTCGAGCTGTGGCTGTCTTGTACCAAGGGTACGACACGCTATACGTTATCTCTCAATAATTAAATGTCTGGTAGACCTTTATACATAATTAAGTGTGCCGTAATAAAAGTAATAAAATAATTATTACCTAAATCCGATACAATACAAACACTGCAATCAAATATGTTCCTGAATTAATGCCGGCGCAACAAAATAATAAATCCGAAAAATAAATTCTCTCTTTTTTTTTTTTTAATGTTACTCCTGTACAATTTTAAATCCGGTCGTAATCCGATTGTCGTTCCAAGGTCGTCAATTGTGCTCGCTAGTATCGCTACACTTCATCACTCAAAAATCTAAAATAACTCATTTTAATTTTATAAATCAAAATTACTAGGTATGTGTAACCTAAACGAAATAAAAAAAAAAAACAAATGAAATTGCGCAACTTTAGCCACAGGTTAATTGCAGTCGTCTGCGGGTAATTTCAATAATGTTGACCGTTTTTTGTTAATGTAGATTTTAATCTTTTAATGATTGCGATTCTGTATGTACTTAACCTAGTGCTGATTGAACGCGTGATCTGCATTTCGGTTCTTAGGTACTCAAGTAATAATATTGTAATACTATAACATTATACTCGTAATAGTCTTACAATAGAGTAGGTGTTGGGAAATAATACTACTGCAGGGTCTATTGTTTTGATGTTTTTTTTTTTTCTTCTTTATTTTAAGTTTAAATTATTCATTATTTGTATTATTTGTGTTTGTATTTACGCGGCGGTAACATTTCGCGTTATGCAATACGATGTGAAAATACACGCGATTAAAAAAATAATATTACAATATTAGCTAGGTACCTATTCAAATTTTTTTTTCTTTTCAGATGCGCGTATTATGGGGTAAAAGAAAAAAAAAAAAACGTCACGAACTCAACAAATATTTTTATGAAATTAATTTAACCTAAACGCAGTGAACCCTTTTAGTTATTCACATCATGCTTAGGTATAAGTGAGTGGGTATATATGTATATATATGTATGCATTCAGTGAAAGTGTGCGATTATTTTTTAAATAACAATACCACGTGATCCTCGGATTCCGTTGGGTTTATAATCTCGAATCGACGTATAAATTATAGTAATAATAATAATTCTTTATATTTTTTTTCTACTGTACTTAACTACAATCTGTTTTTCATCTATCAAACCATAGGTATATTTTTCCAAAACGTTCCGGAAGTAATATTATAATTAGTTGGGAATATAACATATTATAAATAAAACGTATACCTATACATTCGAAATAAACTTCCATAGATTATTTATTTTTTTTTTCATTTTTTATCGTGATGTAATAATATTAAAACCTAATGTAAGTCGTATTATAAAATATCGTTTTTTTAAAAAAAAAAAAAAAAAAAATATATATATAAAAATCGTTACGTGTTATCCACTATTATATTATTATAGTATTATCCATGGACTTGTACGAACACACATAGATACACCGTGCAAAACGAAAATCCTATAAGAGACCGTTTTCCTACAAGTATTATTAGAATCTGTGTATACGGAACGACGAGGAATGTATCGGTTTCAGACATTATACAATAAATCCAATAATGATGTGTATTTTAGATCGCGGACAAAACGGGAAGTTATTAGTCATACTTATACTTACGTCGAACGATGCATGCGGTTTTTTTCTTCTAAGAAAATAATAGTCTTCGAGAATCATATAACTGCAACAACAGTCCCGGGGATTCGAAATGGTAACTGCGATTATTATTAATCGTACTTTAGTGTTTCGTAATAAACGTTGATCGTTTTAAGACCGCCTATACATATACATTAAAAAAATATCGTCAATACTCCAGAGATGTATCGCTTTTTCTGAATTTATCTCGCCATAATCGTGATCATTAATATATCATAATCGTAAATAATCAAATTTTAATTTAAAATACAAGTTCAATTCATACTTTATCGATTTAAATATCTAATTTCGTTCTTCGACGGAAATATCAAATTAAT